AAGCCCAATATGCACAGACAAGGTAGAAAATACTGTTTTAAAGTCCAGCATCTACAAACAATCAAAAGAAATTGAAAAATGGAAGATATTATTCTTCTCTGAGGTCAGAAAAACTCACAGATGATATACTAATTGAAAATATGTATAGAAGAATAAGAAACATTATACCAGCACCTGACCAACATTTTCACAATACAAGCTTAAGGGGATCTATAAAAGATGAATTAATTTGCTGTTCTACTAGAATCCATTAAGTAACAGTGTTCAAATAAAGTTCTGATTATTTAAAAAAATAATAATAATAGACATAGTAAGTGGACAGTTCTAGCAATTTATACAACCAACACCTTGGATGCCAGGCGCTATCCCTAGCCCTATGTAGCACTTAAAGCAGAGCCACCATAGACAGTCAGCATATACTAAGCATGTAAATCATCTTACCAGAAGTTTTGCTAATTTATCACAGATTTGCATATAGCCTAAATGAAGTTTGCCTCCAAAATGATCAGGTAAACATGGGCCACTGAAAGGAACAAGAAAAATCAGATCACTTTGACCTAGAAACTTCAAAAAAGCAGATAATATATATATTGCAGTAGCATCCATTATAGATTATATAGTTTCCCAAATATTTATTATCTAACAATTGCATGATCTACAAGTACAAAAACAGAAAAAGACACACATTATGTAGCTGTAAAAGTTATCATCGTAAAACTGGGCCTAAGAGCCTGCTTGTGACGAGGTATAATAGCCAGGTCAAAAGCTGAAACACTTGAAACCTCAAACACTAACTTATTGAAGCCCTTAGAAAGAAGATTAAAGACTATTTATCAAGAAGTAGAAGATAATAAAATGTACCTGTCATAAACACTCAAAAATGCTCCACAAATATCACAAACACGTAGCTTTTGATCAGTCTGAAAAAAAATTGGATCAAAAAGATTAGAGCAGATAGAATATTAGCATATAAATGGACTAAAAGAAAATTTAACTAAAATCAATTATGACAGGGGACTATTCATGCATTAATTATGCAAATTGAATTCATAATTTCCCAATAAGGTCCAAGTAAGTTTTCTTATCTAGTTTTTATCATAATTTTCCTTCTGTGAAACTGAAAGAACGAAAAACAGAACTCATAATGTGAACATCAGCAGCAGTACACTTTGAGGAATTCAGAACAGGCTCCTGTCTAGCAAAGAGCTGAACAAATGGAAAAACAATTATCCACAAATAAGGCATACCAAGGAGAAGGATATGGTGCAAGCTAATAAAAATTAATTTACAGAAATAACACTATTAAATTCAGAAATTAAAACCTTCTTGAGTGCTTCAGCCTCTTCTAACGCTTTTTGTGCCTTGTCTACCATCCCTTTCTCACCTAACCAACAATAAGAGAGCAAGAGAGACTATTAACAAAACACAGATAAGTACATCATGTATTCTTGAAAACTTTGTAGAACACAATTCAATAAAACACAGATAAGTGAAGTTTTCAAACAAATAAAATAGATTTCCAAATAACTAAAATCCAAACCCCAAGGAACCTTTTCTTAATGCAACTGCCAGCCTTTTTCATAAATGTCTATCAGAAGGACTATTGATTTTGGGCTAACATTATGGACAAGAAGCCATTTCATTCAAGAGCAAGTCTTCACTTTATTGATTTATTAGTTTCATTATCATTTCATCTTTATCATTCAGAGATATTTGGGTAACTAAATTTTTTTAATAGCCTTTCTGTATATTTTAAATGAAACCACCCTAAAGGCATTGTTAATGTAAAGCACTGAGTGTTAATTGAAAAAACAGTAAAGCACTGAGTCTTCATCAACCATTGACAATTGTTTTGGAAGGGGAGGGAAAACAATTTTTCTGAAATTGACATTTTTTTTTATAGGAAAAAAGGTAAAAGCACAAACAGCAAGGAACATAAATTGGCATTATAAATACCACAGAAACAACTTAAGGATTACTGCTATTCCATTTGCAAGAATTTAAAGACAATGAAGCATTCAAAAAATGTTATTTAAGACATGCTACCTAATAGATATCTATCGTCGAGAACTCAAGATGGTTATGTTATTTAACACATTGTACCTAATAGATATCTATCATCAAGAACTCAAGATGTTTTTCTCCCTGTTTTACATACATAAAAAATGGAGTTCAGGTAACCTGAGTTTTATCAAGATCCTCAGCTTTCTTCAGCTTCTCATTTGTCATTTCCTGGGTCCGAGGATCAGGTGCAAGCACAGGCAATGGTGCTAAAGATAGAGGGTTTGGCAATGGTTGGGGCAAAGATGCCTGATCTTTATTGAATGCATCCAAAAGCAGTGTTGAGTGTTGTCTATAACAAGAAACAGAAGCATCATATATACCAAGAGACTAAATGTTATACAAGAATCAAATTATGAGGAACTTAACACACAGTCAATATCAGAAATCCTGATGAATAAATCAGTACTTTCAGAGACCCATTTCCAATCCTACATCTAAAGGAGCTATCAAGTACCTGTTTATCTGCTCTTTTAGCTCTAAGCTCTTCTGCTTCTTCTAGAGCTCATATTTTAAGATCTGACTTGCCTTCAAGATCTGCAAATCAAAATGAAATCATTTACACCCTAAAGCTAATCCTAAAATTTACACAATTCATCCACAGTAAATATTAAGACAAAGGACAAAGAAAATATTATGCAACATAATTGTTGTACGTTCAACATTTAACACTTTAAACAAAACACTTGTAAAAAGGCTTCAAAAATCAAACATGATATGGCTTACTGGGAAGTCATCAAGTCAAGCAATGCACTGTTATGGATTTGATATAATCACTGAAACCAATCATATATTAAACTCCCTAACAAGAGAAATTTCTCAAGAATTCTCAAAAACTCATTTACAAAGGCCACGACAAAAGT